CATTTGGGGGACAGGGTGGGAGGTAGGAAGGAAACCCTAATAGATTTTCTCGATAGATAATGTCATAGATTGCTTTTCTCTACATTTGTTACTATTACAAGGTTTAGCAATGGCTGTTCATTTAGGACTGTCAGCATACTTGTTTTTTTTTTTAAATAAAAAATAATAAATCAATATGGGGAAAAATAAACATGATTTCCCGATTGTGATATTTTAGATTACAGTGGTACCTCGGTTTTTTAATGTAACCCATTCTGGAAGACTGTTCAAATTCTGAAACATTTGAAAACCGAGGGATCAACAGCTGACAGCTAGGCCACAGGATCTTGCACTCAGCGGAAGCTGTGGGGCATGTTTAACTTCCCAGGCGCGCTCGAAAACAAAAGCATTTACTTCTGGGTTTATGGCATTGGTAAACTGAAATGTTCGTCAACGGAGATGTTCGAAAACTGAGGTACCACTGTATTTCCAAAAAAATAAAAGATGTCAGAAATGTTTAGTCTATCAAAGAAATATCTTCATCAGAGTTTCAAAAGGCAAAAAGGGACCCTAAGTAACTCACTGTCATCCAAATCTTCCTTATTTCCCCCTAACATCAAGTTCACTCTTTTTTTTTTTAATGTTTTTATTTATTTCAGAGAGAGGAAGAGAGGAGAGAGATATAGAAACATCAATGATGAAAAAGAGTAATTAATAGGCTGCCTCCTGCACAACCCCTACTGGGGATCGAGCCTGAAACCTGGGCATGTGCCCTGACTGGGAATCGAACCTCAGTCTCCTGAATCATAGTCAACGCTCAACCACTGAGCCATGTTGGCGGGCCAAGTTCACTCTTAAGTTTATTCATTTATAAATATTTATTGAATATATACTATGTGCAAAGGCATGCCTAGTACTATTGGAGTACATAAAACAATCTATAACTTGCCTGGCGGGAGTGGCTCAGTTGGTTGGAGTGCTGTCCCACATACCAGGAGGTGGAAGGTTCAATTCCCAGTCAGCTTGTGTGTTCGCTCCCCAGGGGGTAACCCATTGAGGTTTCTCTCACATTGATATTCCTTTCTCTCTCTTTTTCTTTCTTTCTCTCTGCTCCTCTCTCTCTCTAAAAATCAATAAACACATCCTCAGGTGAGGATAAAATAATTTCATCTCCCTTTTCTTTCTAATGTGGCTACTAAAACACTGTAATTTACAAATGTGGCTTACATATTTCTATTGGAAAGCACTCATTTAGACACTGCCTTAACAACATGTTTAATAAGAATTCAAAAATCTGATGAATGCCAAAATAAGAATAGTCGGTTCCTTTCTATAGCATAATAAGTAACATTTTTGGTAAGTGAGCACTTGATTCAAATAGAAGGTCTTCAATATATGATAACATTATATTTTATCAACTCTTAAAACATATTTTAGCTAACCGCCCTTGAGATGCAAAATGTTTATGAATTCCATTAGCATTTCTTTAAGTAGTTTCAATGGTTATAAAATAGTATATTAAACATTAGAAACATTTGAATTCTCTACCCACTTCATTATTTACATGATAAATGCTTTTTTCTCTAAATTTATATATGTTCTTCCTGAAAGAAATGTTGTATTTTTGTAGTTATCTACTTCACTAGCACAAACATATCTGGTTGTCATGGGAATTGCTGGTTCAGATTTCGGCAAAAAAAGAAAATCTGTGTGGAAAGAAAATTGTTCAGTTGCTATTTTAATTATTAAGGTAATAATTTAGAAGAGTGTTTGCACCTTTAACATTATAGCTTGTTATTTTTTATTACTATTTAATAAATACAAAATGTTTTCACTGCCAAAAGCATGTCTTTTATTAGGATATGCTCTTCCAATTCTAAGTTTATACTGACCCCTATAGGTTATTATGTTCTAATTTATTTCTGGTTTATTCTTTCAGAACATACAATTACCAATATTTAAACATGTTTACACTTAGGATTTAATTATTTTAGGAGTAAAGCCATAAAATACTTTTTTCATAGTCTTTTTCTCTTCTGATATTGCTCAACATAAACTATGCATGAATTTCAGCCATCCTTTAAGACAATTTATTTTGAAGACCAAAGATGTTTTAAACCACATTAGTTTCAGTGTTGGTCTACTGAGGACAGGGGAACTAAGCAACATAATTTCTAGTTAACAGCAAAACATGACCTGATTATTTTCCTCAAAATCTGTTCTATCTCATAATTTTCATAGCTGTAGTCCATTAAGAAATTAACTTTAAAGTTTATGCAGAGATGTATATAAAGGCAGAAAGGACTTGGAACCAAAGTCAGTCTGATTTCGGCTAACCTTGGCGGATGGACACTGATTCTAGGTTAAACTGGGAACTTTTAATGTGATGTGCAAGACTCTAAACCCTTTCCTTACAGACATGGATGAGGAATTACAGGAGAGGGTGAAAGGTTACAGACTATTTGCTGTTGGGCACAGGCATCCCCAGGAACACGTAGTAAGGAAGGAACTGTCTGGAACATCTGCAACAGGAGCTCTATACATATACCATATGCTTCCTAAAATTGCCAGTTTTGCATGAGATATGGAACTGATTTCTTCCCAGTCTATGCTTTGTACAAAAGGAAACATTTTAACCTAAGAGAAGAGTTTCAACAGTGCTAATTTTCAAGGAGCAGAAACTAGAGCAGCTCAGGAGTAAGTGTGGAGTAATTCCAAAAGGTACAATGCCATGAAGTCTGAATGTGGGTTCCATATTACTCTATAATAATAAACCCTTAATAAGACTAGAGCATTATTACAAGATGTATGTTACCAACTTTTAAAAAGATATTTCATTATTCATACTTGCTTTGGAGAAACAACATTATCATGGACTATGCTGTGAATTCAATATGAAGCCCAGGCTACCCTTGTTTTTCTTAAACTTGTACTTTCATATAATCTGAGTATTGGGGATAATAGGAATAACCTCCTTACTGATCAGATAGTAATTTCCGGAGTATTATAAAGCAGAGGTGTGCTTTAACCCTTCTTCTGACTTGAAGCCAGGCATAGATTGCCATAGGAAATATGAAGCTATATATTTTCTTGCACACTGAGATACGGTTTTATTGCCATACAGGTAAATTCTGATATCAAAATTATTATCTGGGGTAGATATTCTCATAGTACTTAATGAGTGATAGTCAAGTCTATAGTTCAAGTAACTTAGTTTCATAAGGGTAAATTTTACGTCTAAGTCATCCTGGGGATTATATTGGTTTAAACTGACTTTTACAAATGCATTACTGAATTTTTTACTATTACCAGAATAAGTTTGATAACGTTGTTCTACATTTTCTCAGACCAGGAAGACCACAGTCAGGCTGTACCGGGAGCTGGGGTGCTTTGCTCACCCCCGTGCGAGAATGAAGGCTTTTCTGCGGGAGCCTGAAGCCTGCCCATCGTCTCCAGGGCTCCCTCGGCCACGCTGCGCCCGTCTGGTCTGGCTCGTGTCTTGCTCAGGCTCCTGAATTTCCCTAAGATACTATTAATTCCACATTCCACTTATATTTACTTGTTGGACTAGTTTACTGTTTTGTTTGCCACCGAATCCTTAGCATCTGAGGCCTAAGCACTAAATAATCAGTAGGAGGTATTTTGTTTGGCAATAAGAAATGCTGTGACTGTAAAGGCAAATTAAAAATACATCATTTTAGTAACTTAAAAGTGCTGAATGTGCAAACTTCTTTGAACATCTCAATAGGACAAGAAATTAAAATGCTTGACAAGAGCAAACACAAGCGATTACACTCAAATGAATAGAAATACCACAAGAAAACCCGTCCCAGACGGCGAGCTGCAGGAATAAACCGAGAAGGGAGGTTGCGCCCGTGTTTGTTTGGGTTTTTGGGGGGGAGAAGGGGGGGGTAAGACGCAGAAGTGGAGAAACGAGAAGCGGAGGCAGGAGGGATGAACGCCGAAAGCAAGCAACCCCCAAAAGCAGAAGAGGGGGTTCTCCAGCCAAGGAGGGCACAGCGGCCACCAAGACCTCAGCTCTACCCTCTGCTACTACCTAAATAAGAAGCAAAGGGGAGTTTTCCTCACACCGTCTAATCCGACAAACCACGGCCGGCCGCCGGCGCCGTCAATCCGGGGAATTAGAACGTCCCCGGGAGGAGGCGGCCCGGGTCCCGCGGCCGCGCACGCGCAGTCCGGGC